TCCATCTCCTCCTCCTCCATCTCCTCCTCCTCCATCATCTCCTCCTCCACCATCTCCTCCTCCTCCATCTCCTCCTCCTCCACCATCTCCTCCTCCACCATCTCCTCCTCCACCATCTCCTTCTCCACCTCCACCGTTGCCCACAGCTCCCTCCCTTCCCCGCACGGGGAAGGCTCTCGAGCCGGCTCTTCTCGCCCTGACCCACAGGTGACGGATCATGGAGCGAGACGGACACCGAGAGCTCCCGCTCGGAAGACGGAGAAGACGGCCCGGCCCGAGAGAGCCGCCACCTGAGGCGGCGCCCGGCCTCGTCCAACCCCAACGGCAGGAGAGCGAAGGCGCCGGGCCAGAGCAAGCACGTGTGCGCCACGTGCGGCAAGAGCTTCAGCCGCGGCTCGTCCCTCAACCGCCACCAGCGGGGCCACGCGGGCGAGAAGCCCTTGGCGTGCTCCAGCTGCGGGCAGAGCTTCCCGTGCGAGTCCAGCCTCAGGAGCCACCAGAGGAGCCACCCGAGCGAGAAGCCCTACAAGTGCCCCAGCTGCGAGAAGAGCTTCGCGTCGGCCAAGTCGCTGCGGAAGCACCGCAAGGGCCACCTGGAGAGCGGCGCCTACCGGTGCTCCGAGTGCGGCAAGACCCTCACGTCCAACTCGGCTCTGGTCATCCACCGGCGCATCCACACCGGGGAGAGGCCCTACAGCTGCCCCGAGTGCGGCAAGGCCTTCATGGCCAAGAAGTCGCTCAACAAGCACCGCAAGGGCCACCTGGAAGGCGCCGCCTTCACGTGCCCGGAGTGCGGCAAGACCCTCACGTCCAACTCGACGCTCGTCATCCACCGGCGCATCCACACCGGGGAGCGGCCCTACGCGTGCCCGGAGTGCGGCAAGAGCTTCATGGCCAACAAGTCGCTCAGCAAGCACCGCAAGAGCCACGCGCGGCAGGAGAGCTACGGGTGTCCGCAGTGCGGGGAGACCTTCGGCAAGAGCGCCGTCTTGGTGGCCCACTTGAGGACCCACCGCGGAGAGCCCCCCTACCCGTGCGCCGACTGCGGCGAAGCCTTCTCCGACAGCTCCTCCTTCGGCAAGCACCGCAGGAGGCACCTGGCGGAGAAGCCCTTCCAGTGCGGCGAGTGCGGCGCCGGCTTCGCCGCCCACGCGGCCCTCCTGCTCCACCAGAGGAGCCACGCGGGACCCCGGCCCCACGTGTGCTCCGAGTGCGGCAAGGCCTTCCGGGAGAACACCACGCTCCGGCGGCACCAGCGGATCCACACGGGCGAGAAGCCCTACCGGTGCCCCTACTGCGAGAAGAGCTTTCGGGCGAGCTCCACGCTCATCATCCACCAGAGGATCCACACGGGCGAGAAGCCCTACAAGTGCTCGCGGTGCCCCAAGAGCTTCACGTCCAGCTCGTCGCTCGTGAAGCATCGCCGGACTCACCTGCGCTACGAGGGGCTCGCGGCGCCCGCAAGTCCGGGGCAGGGAGCCGCTTTGCCGCCCCCGGCTCCGTCCGCGACCCACCAGGTCCCGTCCGTGTGAACTTGGGGTCTTCCTGCCCATGGAGGAGATGTCCTCATTAATTTGGACAGATTAATTGGATATCATGGAAATTCGAGGGGGAATTGGGAGGAAGGGCCCAGCCCGACTCATGGTAGAACATCCTTGATGACCCATACCCAACGTGTCCCAATGGGACATCTCCAGATGAAGTCACTGGTGGGTTTTAGAACATGTTGGTTGACTTTAGAAGCAGAAAGTGGATGCGATTTGGGCGGGGGAAGCTTTGATGGAGCTCCTTGCTTTGGGATGTGCTTGGGGAACATGGAGAAGCTGGTAGATCATGGCTGGTCAAGCTTCTTCTATGTGGACCAAGCGAAGAGCAGCAGCTCCGTGGACCCGCGTTGCGCTGAAAGCCTCTTGCCAGCTTCCCACCCTGGAATATCCAACTTCTTTAAAGAGAAGCTGAATCCAAGGGGTCCCCATCACCCTGGCATCGGGTCCGCTTGGATCTCGCGCTTTGGTGGGACCCCACGGGCCTGGAAATGCCAGATCCCCCCTCCCACCATGTCCCCGTTGTTCTCAATGGCCTCTGTCTGGTTTCGATGCCGGTCTCTTCCTAATACACCGCACCGAGCAAATGCGACGGTCCAAGTCATGGCTTGTTGGTGAATGTTCTGCCTTTTTATTTTATTTTATTAAAAATAATATTATTTTTATTAAAAAAAGGAGGTGCAATAAAGTGGGACTTGCTTTCCTGGAGAGCAGCATCGGTAGCAAGAGAGATGACGCTGTTGGTCACAGTTTGGGCTCCATTCCATTTGGGGCTACAGAGCAGTGGGGAGCTGGGGTCTTGCACCAAGCCCTGGCAGCAGCTGGAAGCCTCTGCTTGCACCTCCATGTCCAGGTGGGTTTTGGAGACCTCCAAGGGTCTCCAGGAACCTGCCCCATTGGATGGACAATGTCCTCCAGGTGTCCAGCTGGGTTTGGAGACCTCCAAGGGTCTCCAGGAACCTGCCCCATTGGATGGACAATGTTCTCCACGTGTCCAGCTGGGTTTGGAGACCTCCAAGGGTCTCCAGGAATCTGCCAGGTTGGATGGACAAGGTCCTCCAGGTATCCAGCTGGGTTTTGGAGATCTCCAAGAATCTCCAAGAACCTGCTGCATTGGATGGACAACTGTGCTCCAGGTGTCCAGCTGGGTTCTGGAGACCTCCAAGACCTGCCAGGTTGGACGGACAACCCTGTCCAAGTGTCCCGCTGGGTTCTGGAGACCTATAAAAGGGACCTGGCAGCGGTGGGATTCGAACCCACGCCCCCGCAGAGACTGGAGCCTTAATCCAGCGCCTTAGACCGCTCGGCCACGCTACCTCAGAGTGAGGGCCAAAAACCGGCGGGAAAAGGGGCCAAAACTGGGGGGAAAGGGGCCAAAACCGGCCAATTTTGAGGGCGATCACGCTGGAATCGGGGCATAGGGAGGAGGAGGCCCCAAGGGAGCAGAAAAGGAGGAAGAGGAAGGGGCGGAGAGGTGGGAGCGGGGGGAGGAAGGGCAGCGAGGAGCGGCCAGGGGGACTTCAGTTCCCAGGGGGACTTCATTTCCACACAAAAAAGGTTTATTTTAGCCAAACGCCCCCGAAACCCACCAGCCTGAGGAGGCCCGAGGAAGAGGAGCCCGTTGGAGTCACCTCCTCCAGCTCCGAGCTCCGGCAGCCCAGGGGCCCTGCGCTTCCCCGGGCGGAGCGGAGAGGCCGGAGCGGGATGGAGTCCAGCCAAGAGCAGATCCCACCGGGATCCCACCAAGAGTGGGTCCCCCGGGACCCAAGGGGTCCCCCGAGGGCTCTCAGCCTCCTCCCGGCCTCCAAAGCTCCTCCCAGCTCCAGGAGCGGGGCTGGAGCCTCCACGGAGCCTCTTGGCCCCTCAGGCAGAGGTTGTCTGCTGCGTTGGGGCAGAGCTGCCCAGAGCCTCTTCTCCTTTGGCATCAAGGAGAGGCGTTTCCGCGGAAGGACGGGAGGCCTCGGAGGCCGGATTGGAGGTGGGATGGGCTGGGGAAGTTGGGAGGGCGACGTTCTCGGAGCACAGACGGACTTCGCCCTTTTCCACCCAAAACCAAGGGTACATCTTCTGGACAGTTAACGAGGTTAACATGAAGGCGAAGATCTCAGCCCCGTTATCGGCGTTGACAAATGTCACCCGACTTCCTGTGAAGTCCAGGATTACCCAGATCCTCCTGGGAACTGGACACGAGGACACGGAGGCGCCAAATTCTGTGAGCGCCTGAATCCTTCCCTTCTGATTCTGCACAGCCCAGATCCATGCTGAAGGGTTGGGGGAGATGATCGTCATCCTCCACACTGTCTCAGCGGCCACCCCTACGGCCCAGCGAGTCTCATCGCCCACCTCCCCTTCCACCTCCCAGCAGTGTCTCCCATCGGTGAACCCCTCACGGCCCAGCACGCAGCACAGATTTTTAAATCTCTTCCTGTTATATGGAAGGTCCTGCTGTGTCTCGCTCCATCTCACGCTTCTGCAGTCCGGGGACAGCACAAGCTGGGGGTGATGGGTGTCTGGATCCAGGAGAACCTCCTCTGCGGGCACAAGAAGAGTGATGGGGCAGAGGTTCATCCCTGTCTAGGGCTGAGCCTCTTCGGGTGAAGACCTCTTTGGTCTGAAGACCTCTTTGGTCTGAAGGCCTCCTTGGTCTGAAGGCCTCTTTGGCTTGAGAACCTCTTCGGTTTTGAAGACCTCTTTGGCCTGAAGACCTCTTTGGTTTGAAGACCTCTTTGGTTTGAAGACCTGTCTGGTTCTCCGCCCTCGCTGAGGTGGGGAATGACCTCCCTCCACCAAGGGGAACCAAGGCCTTGTGCCCTCAGGTTCATACTCTAAGGTACAAGTCCCGTCCCATCACGGATGGTCTATTGAGGACAGGGACAGTCCAGGAACGCCCAGGACAACCACCCACGTGATGGAAAAAGAAGAGAAGTCTCCATAGAAGGAGAGGATCATGAGAGAACAACATGCCAAAATATCTTTACCTTTTTCTATAGGATAAAGCATTCTTCTCCAACCTGCGAGGGAAGAGGAGACAACACAGCACGTGTCCTCGGGTGAGGACCTGAGGCGGTCAGAGGAGACCACCTTTTGCCAGGTGATCAGGGAACTACCGGGTGATAAGGGACTAGAGACTCACCCAGCTCCGTGGTCTTCTCCTCTGAGAAGTGGAGGGAAAGGAAGGGTCATGAGCAGAGGAGCTTCCCGTCCCCACGGGGCAGCACTTGAGGGCATCACCGGGGGGTTCGGACTCCCATGGTTGCTCTCCCCATTCCCGGGAAAGGGGCAATTCCCAGACACCGCTGGGATTGGTGGGTGCCAGCCCGCGGTATCCCCATGTTGGGCACGTGGACAACGCGCTGGCTTGATCTGAGCCAGACCCTTCCCAAGACAAGAGGCAAACCCAAGGAACCGGTGTCCACCCCAGGAACACCCTTTGTAGGACAGTTTTAGGGGGGCAAGAGGAAGAAAGACTCACCCAAATCTCTGGATTTTAGGTCTGAAAGGAAAATAAAAATGATAATAATAAAAAAAGGACAAGCTCATCAGAAAGGGACCTTATTTTCTCCTTCCCCAACCTGGAAGGAGCAAGTTCTGCTCCTTGGCATTTGCATCCCCACACTAAGGCCAACCTCAGCCTGAGCCTGATGTAACCCATATCCTCCCCTAAGCGACAACTAGACCACCACCACCAAACCACCACAACCAGACCACCACCAAACCACCACCACCAAACCACCACCACCAAACCACCACCACCAAACCACCACCACCAAACCACCACCACCAGACCACCACACTCGTGTCCATCCCAGGTTTACAGCCCCGGGAAGGACGAGCACTCACTCATCTCTTGGGACAGGCCCTCTGAAAAACAAAGGAGAAGGGAGAGGGCATCAGCAGAGGAGCTTCCCACCCACCAGATACACAACCCCAAGAGGAGGCACCACCAGGAATGGTCTCCATCACCCTCTTTCTCCTCCTCTCCCATAAGAAGGGAGCAGCTCACTGGGCCCACACCACAGCACCTCAATGCTCACGGCCACAGGCGGAGCTCAGGCCCACCTAGACCTTGCTCCATCCCCAAGTCACATTGTGTGGCGTCCACCCAACGCCCGCATCAAGGACACAACGTTCTCCACATCGTTCAGGAGGGGAAATGGGGAGGAGAAGACTCACTCAGATCTCTGCGCTGCTTCTCTACAAGGACAAAACAGAGAGGAGAGGGCATCAGAGAGCACCCACCTTGGCCAGGACTCACCCCTCTAACAACACCCCCTTCCACCCTCGTGGCTCCTCTCCAGACCCATCCGCTCTCACCCTGTTCCTCCCTTGCCCCATGTTTTACCGTTCTCCTTGAAGAGGCGAACGCTGAAGACACTCAAGCCGAGTATCAGGATTAAGAGCATCACCAGCGTCACGGCCAGAGCCACCTTCCAGGGCTGGGCGTCGTGGTAGAAGGGAGCTAGGGCAGCAGAAGGAGACGTCCCCACTCATCGGTCCCCATGGGCGTCCCCTCAACGGGAGGTTCTCCACGTCCTCCACGAGGAACCAACCCGCGATGCGCAGGGACGACTCCTTCTCCTGGCCGGCGCGCCGGTTCCTCACCACGCAGGACAAGCTGCCGCCGGCCTCCGCGCTCGCGGTGACACCGTCCTCCACGCCGAAGAGGCCCCTCTCGTCCCGGGAAAGGTGGTGGGACGTCGAGGGCAAGCGCTGCCCGCCGGGAGCCTCCCAGAGCGCCTCGGGCTGCGGGAACCAGCCGGCCGAGCGGCACAGCACGCGGATGCCCCCGTCCTGGTAGCCCTCCAAGGAGACGAGCGGGGAGGAGCCCACGGCTGGGGAGAAAACGGGGCGACCTGAGCGGGTCCCTTCAAAGGGGCGAGGACTTGGGCGGAGGCTCTGCGGTCACCGCGGGCATCCCCACCCAGCAGGTCCCCAAGGGGCTCTCGGGGCGGACATCCCGTCACCCACGGACCCGTCACCTCGGACCCATCACCCAGAGCCCGCGGGAGCAATGAGGGCTCCTGACACCCCCGGGCACGAAACGGGCTTCCGTCCTTGCAGGATTCCCACCCTCGTTGGTGGAGGAACCGTCTCCACGCCCGCGGAGTCGGGGAGCAGAACTTAGGTGTTGCCTTGGTCCAGAAGCAGCGTGATGGAGACACAGCTAAGCTGGAGATGAAGCCAGAGCCAGCAACGCACCTGACACCTCCAGCTCCACCACAGCTTCTGCATAACCAGCATCGCTTTGAACAGTGCAGACATACGTTCCATCATCAGAGGGTCTCACGTTGGCCAGCAGCAAGTCCAGGCTTCCTCTGATGAGGCCGTCATGAGACAGCTGTGTCCTCCCTTGATATTCTTCCATCTGCTCAAAGTAGAGGTCGCCTCCATCCCGGTAGAGGTGCACCGTTTGAGAGACGTGATAACGGATCCACCTGACGGTCATGCTCTGAGCATTGGAGCTTGGGAAGAGCTGACAGGGCAGCACGATGTCCTGGTCCACGGTGGCACTGAGAGGGTGGCCCGGTGCCACCACCCTGAGCTGGGCTGTGTGACGGGGAAGGGCAGAGGAGAAGCAGAGAGGCATGGACTGTTGGCATGGGTGGGATGGAGCCTTTGGGCAGAAGGATGTTGAGGGGGATGTGGAGCTGAGAAGGGTGTTGAGCTGAGCGGGATGTTGAGAAGGACGAGGTGTTGAGAAGGATGTTGAGTTGAGAGGGATGTGGAGCTGAGAGGGATGTTGAGAAGGGTGTTGAGTTGAGAAGGATGTTGAATTGAGAAGGATGTTGAGTTGAGACAGGTGTTGAGTTGAGAGGGGTGTTGAGAAGGACGAGGTGTTGAGAAGGATGTTGAGCTGAGAAGAATGTTGAGTTGAGAAGGATATTGAGTGGAGAGGGATGTTGAGTGGAGAAGGTTGTTGAGTTGAGAAGGATGTTGAGTTGAGAAGGGTGTTGAGTTGAGAAGGGTGTTGAACTGAGAAGGGTGTTGAACTGAGAAGGATGTTGAACTGAGAAGGATGTTGAACTGAGAAGGATGTTGAGTTGAGAGGGGTGTTGAGCTGAGAAGGGTGTTGAGCTGAGAAGGGTGTTGAGTTGAGACGGGTGTTGAGTTGAGAAGGTTGTTGAGCTGAGACGGGTGTTGAGTTGAGAAGGATGTTGAGTTGAGACGGGTGTTGAGTTGAGAAGGATGTTGAGCTGAGAAGGGTGTTGAGCTGAGAAGGGTGTTGAGCTGAGACGGGTGTTGAGTTTGGGGTGGCGTTTGGGAGCCCTCAGAAGGGAAAAGCAAAGCCACTGGAGAAGGTCGGGAGCACCCGGATGAGAGCCAGGGTTCCTGCAAGGACCATCCTGCCTGCTCTGGAGCTGGGAGCAGGGCACTGGCCTCTCACCCCCTGCTCCTGAAGGGCTCCAGAAGGTCCTGAGGACGCGCGCTGAGGAGCCACCCCAGCCCATGTGGGAGCAGAAGGGAAAGTGAAAGCCCGGGCAGGGACAAACTCCACGGGGACGCCTCCGCCCGCCACCTCCTCCCCACCCCAAGGGGGTTGTGGGGACCCCCACGCGGCAGCCGGACCCCCGGGAACCCTGCGGCCGCGGGCGGCAGTCCCACCTGAGCCCAGCTGCAGGACGTGGAGGGCCACCAAGGAGAGCAGGAGGCTCCGTGGGCCCCAGCGCGGGAGGAACCGCGTCCCCATGGAGGCTCTGCCTGTGGAGGACACCGGGAGAGCGAGGGGGCGAGAGCGGCAGCGGAGGCCGAGCTCTTCTCCAGGGGGAACGATCAGGAAGCGCGCACCGGGAAGCGATGGCCAACGCGACGTCCTCCACTAAGGCGGCCTCGGGTGGAGGAGGAGGTGGGACAGACCTTCTGTGGAGCAGCACGAGGCTCCGATGGAGGCCGGGGAGCGCGGGGAAGGCTCGGGGCCGCTCCGGAGGGCGAGCTCCACGTGGGGACGAGCCGCTCGCCGCGGGAGCCACGCAAGGTCCGCGGGAGCACCGGCCTCCGACCTTTGTCCCCAGGGGCGTTTCTCCGGGAAATTCACCTGGATGGAGATCCGCCTCCTGCTGCCACATTCCCGGCCTCCCAGGTGGCATCTGGAGCGGGGACCTTGCTCCGTGGAGGCTCCAGCCCCGCTCCTGGAGCTGGGAGGAGCTTTGGAGGCCGGGAGGAGGCCGAGAGCCCTCGGGGGACCCCTTGGGTCCCAGGGGACCCACTCTTGGTGGGATCCCGGTGGGATCTGCTCTTGGCTGGACTCCATCCCGCTCCGGCCTCTCCGCTCCGCCCGGGGAAGCGCAGGGCCCCTGGGCTGCCGGAGCTCGGAGCTGGAGGAGGTGACTCCAACGGGCTCCTCTTCCTCGGGCCTCCTCAGGCTGGTGGGTTTCGGGGGCGTTTGGCTAAAATAAACCTTTTTTGTGTGGAAATGAAGTCCCCCTGGGAACTGAAGTCCCCCTGGACCCTCCTCGCTGCCCTTCCTCCCCCCGCTCCCACCTCTCCGCCCCTTCCTCTTCCTCCTTTTCTGCTCCCTTGGGGCCTCCTCCTCCCCGTGCCCCGATTCCAGCGCGATCCCCCTCAAAATTGACCAGTTTTGGCCTCTTTGCCCCCAGTTTTGGCCCCTTTTCCCGCCGGTTTTTGGCCCTCCATCCGAGGTAGCGTGGCCGAGCGGTCTAAGGCGCTGGATTAAGGCTCCAGTCTCTGCGGGGGCGTGGGTTCGAATCCCACCGCTGCCAGGTCCCTTTTGGGCCCCGGGGGGGCTGCACTGGGGGCTGCCCCACAGGTTGCACTGGGGGCTGCAGCAGTGGTTGCATTGGGGGGGTTGCACGGGGGGGGCTGCAGCAGTGGTTGCAGCGGAGGGGTTGCACTGGGGGGGTTGCACGGGGGGCTGCAGCAGCAGTTGAACGAGGGGTTCAGCTGCACCAGGGCCCCCGCTTTCCACCCGAAAACGGGTTAAAAAAAGGGCAAATAAAGCCCCGGGAGAGGCGCACGCCGTTTATTGGCAGCTGGTCAGTGCCCTTGCTCCGGGTGAGGACGAGGGGTGTCCCCAGGGCCCCCCCGCGGCGCCGGCGTCACCGCACGAGCGCCAGGGCGCCCAGCTCGAGCCAGAACCAGGGCCGGAGGCGCTGGCCGGCGAGGGCGGCGGCGGGCGGGAAGGCGAAGATGGGCGCGCCGCTGTCGGCGTCGCGGAACGCCACCTCGCCCCAGTCGCAGTCGAGGCGCACGCGGATGCGGCGCGGCACGCGCGGCAGCGCCAGCGCCGTGGGCGGCCGCGTGAGCGCCCGGTTCTGGAAGCCCCACTGCTGCACGGCCCAGATGCCCTCGGCGGGGTGGAAGGCGCCGGTGCCGGCGGAGCCGTAGGGAGGCGATTCCCGGCTCACGCCCACGGCGCAGTACTGGCCCTGGGCCACGTCCACGTCCCAGTAGTGGCGGCCGGAGGTGAAGGCTTCGGAGCCCAGCACGCAGGGGCTGCCGGCGGCGGCGTCTCCGGTGCCGTATTCCCAGCGCACGCTGCGGCGGTCGGCGGAGAGCACCAGGCGCGGGTGGGCGGTGGCGGGGTCCAGGGTGATGTTGGCTGCGGGGGGGAAAGGGGGGGAAAAATTTAACAAGGGAAAAACATTTAAAAAAGGAAAGAAAATAAAAAAGGAAAAAAATTAAAAAGGGAAAAAATTAAAAAGGGAAAAAATTAAAAAGGGAAAAAATTAAAAAGGAAAAAAAAGAAAAAGGAAAAAAAAAGAAAAAGGAAAAAAAAGAAAAAGGAAAAAAAGAAAAAGGAAAAGAATTTTAAAAGGAAAAGAATTTTAAAAGGAAAACAATTTTAAAAGGAAAACAATTTAAAAAGGAAAACAACTTAAAAAGGAAAACAACTTAAAAAGGAAAACTTAAAAAGGAAAACTTAAAAAGGAAAACAATTTAAAGGGAATAATTTTTCTTTTTTAATTTTTCCCTTTTAAAAATTTAAAAGGAAATAAATGAAAAAGGAAAAAGTTTTAAAAAGGGAAAATTTTAAAAAGGAAAAATTAAGAAAGGAAAAAAGGAAAAAAAGAAAGGAAAAATGGTGAAAAGAAAAAAATAAAGGAAAAATTAAAAGAAAGGGAAAAAAATAAAAATTGAAAAAATTGAAAAAGAAAAATGAAAAAGGAAAAAATTGAAAAGAGGAAAAATTTTAAAAAGGAAAAAAAAATTAAAAGGAAAAAAATAACAGAAAAGGGAGGTGGAATCAACTGCAGAGGGCTGCTATCTTCCCGGGAAAGGGTGGGATGGGGGGCGGGCTCCATCCCTCTTAACGGAGCAGAACGGGGGGCCCGGAGAACCCGGGAGATGCCGGGGTCTCGTCCGTGTTCCCGCTTCCATGCACGGAATTCCGCGCGCTCCGGCTGACTTACCCCAATTGCCATCATCTTTCCCTAAAAAAGGGCAATAAAATCACTGTGGCGGCCGCTGCGAAGCCAAAGCTGGGGCCAAAAGATAGAGCCGGAGAGAAAGAGGCACTTACTGTGTTCTTCACTGCATTTCCCTAAAAAAAATACATATATATATATATAAGAAAAGGTTTTAAGGATGGTTTTCCTATTCCAGGGAGGTCTCCAGTTCGTGCCACGTTTTCGTTTCCCTCCTTCCTTCCCCAAAACAGAGTTTCTTTCCCAGCAAAAGTTCAATGTGTTAAAAGGCAAATGGATGGGCTGGAAATTCCTGAAATTCGTCCTCTCCTTTCTTATTTTTCCAGGACAGAAATCCCAGCTTTCCGTGAAGCCCCCATCTCTCATTAATGGGGGCTTAATTAATTAAGGGAAGGAAAAGAGGCACTTACTCATTTTTGCTTTATATTCCTCTGAAAAGAGAAAAAAAAACAGAATCCTTATTGGATAAATCTCCATTTTGCACAGCAAAATTAAGTAGAGCGCAAAGAAAAATGCTATTTCTGTGCCCACGATTACCATGGTTGGCATTGCTTGTTAGAAAGCAGGAGCAATTGAAGCTTTTTATATTAAATTCCATAAATCTCCCCAAATTAGCTCAGGAAAAGGCTGGGGCAGGAGGGATGTCCCAGGCCTGGACATTAAATGAAACCAAGTGAGACTTACCCAGCTCTGCAGTGAGTTCATCTTAAAAAAGGGAAAATAAATCCAATTTAATATAATAAATTCATAAAACTTCCAGTCCACCTGAGCTCTGCTTCTCAGGAAAAAAATATATATATGGTACTTACCAATTTTTCGGTCGCGCTCGCCTAAATAAAGGGCAGAAAGCATCAAAATGGTCAATACAAACTGTGCAACTGAATAAAACTTAAACGGGGGGTATTTGGGCTTAAACTGGGGGTATTTGGGTTTAAACTGGGGGTATTGGTTTTGCTGGAGGGGAGAAAACATGCTTACCAATTGCTGCAGAGAGTTCACCTAAAAGAGAGGAAAAAATAGTGATTTTCATTAATATCCCTCTCCTCTACAAAGGGATGCAGATCAGCTAGTTACAATACAATACTCTCAATTTGAGTTACCATTTTTAGCATTTTTTAATGATTTTTGGAGCAGTTTTGAAAAAAGGCCAGTTGCAGGCACCTCAAATCCGTGGAATTCAGCGCACAACCCCATAACTTGGGTTTTAAAAGTGATAATCATGAGGAATTTGGACACTGCCTCCAAATGCACCTTAGATTTACGGTTAGCAAGGGCAGGAGATGGGCACGTACCAACCGTGGCATCCCGTTCTCCTAAACAAAGGCAAAATGCAGAGCAGAAAGACTAGATTTAACCTACAATATTTATATATACACACACACATACATGCATATATTATTTTATATTTAAACTTCCTTGAAACTACTATTTTTTTTTTAACATGGGAGGGAAAAATATCACTCACCAGCTTCCAGATCCTTTACTTCCTCTAAAAGAATGGGAAAAAAAAAAGAAGTGAAATGTGGATTTTTTCCTATTGTATAATGTATTTCTGCATCAAGATGCAGGATTATTTCTAGTCCATCGCCAATTCCCCTGTGTTCTCTGTTATTTTATTTTTTAAAAGCCTGTGTTAGCCCTTTCCCTGTTTCCTTCTAAATCTGAGGTGTACACAAGCAGCCCAATAGCAGCACAATTAAACAAACAATCAAAAAAAACCCAAAAAAGGCAAAATCAGCTCTGTAAAAGGTACAAAAAATGGCTTACCAAGCTGTTCTGTCAGTTTTCCTTGAAAAGGAAAAAAATATTTGTCCTAATCAGTGCATTTCCAGAGCAAGGGAGCTCAAGGAATTGCTTAGGAATAAGGAATTCCTAACAGGAAACCGAAATTCCTGTTTTCCTCCAAAACCAGGAATTCACTTACTGACTGTGGCATCCCGTTTTCCTAAAAGGAGAAAAATACAGAAAAACATGAATATAAAAGGAGTATTTTTCTCTGATTTTATTGCTATGTAACACCTAAGCCCTGTGGCTTAGCAAAGTTTTAATTATGGTTCCTCTTGGGCAAAACTCCTAAATTTTTGCTTTTCTGCCTAAAACTTTGCTCTCTGCTTGAGAAATTATTTATTTTTTAGTTATTAAATTCCTTTTTTTCCTTTTCTCTTGGAAGGATGCAATGCAGATAGCTGCAATTGGGCAGGATTCCTGTGAAAAGGTGGAAAAGGGAACGCACTTACCCAGCAGCTCAGTAAGTCGCCCTGAAAACAAGGAAAGAAAGAAGATTTTTAGGCAAAAACTCCTTTTAAGTGCATAGCAATTTAACTACAGATGGGAAAGAGCAAGGAAAATGTCACTTACTGATCTCTGCTTCGTGCTCCCCTAAAAGAGAACAATTAGGATTAATAATTTCGAGCGATTTTGTTGTTTTTCCCATATTACCAACACGGCTCCTTAAAAGATTTTAGGCTACTTGGTGCAATTGCTGCTTTTTGCTTAAAAATGAAGCCTGGCCACGCTCAAATTAGCCCTTCCCAAGGAAGCAGCTCCAATTCCATGATCTCATAATTAAAAATAGCAAACGAACCGCGGATGATGTTGAGCACCGAGAGGGGTGTCAAAGGCTGCCCGGAGGTGGCTGCACTTACCGATTTTTGCATCCCGCTCCTCTGAAAATAAAGAGAAAAATAATATTTCTCAGCCAGATTAAAGCAGAATTGGTTTTCTTTTCCTTAAAAATCCAAAAGAAAACTGCAAATAATTCCTTTTCAGCAAAACGAGGAAAAATCCTTACCAATTTCTGCCGTGTATTTCCCTTAAAAAGGAAAAGAAACGGGAATGTGATGAAATATCCCTTTTCTCAACGGCAAAATACACCATTATAAACATTTAGATTTTCTGTTCTGCATGTATTTTATGTATTAAATAACACCGTGCATAGGTTAAGTGACTGAAACAGGGCAAAATGTGAACAAATATAATTATTTCCATTGAGCACACTTAAAAAAAGGAGAAAAATCAGGAAAAAAAAAATAAAGAAGACACTTACGAAGTTTTCTATCACAGTCCCCTAAAAAAAAAAAAAAAGGAAATAAAAAGATTTCTGAGTTCTTCGTTGTTTATCCCAATATATCCTTTTTATTAAAGGTAATTTGGAGAATGACTTACCGACTTCTGCAGTGAGTTCCCCTTAAAAACAAAAAGAAAAAGTTGTTTAAAATTATTTAAAGTTATTATTAAAGGGTTTTTTTTTCTCCTGTGGGAATGTCCAGGCACTGGGTGGTAAATTAAGGGTCTGAGCTCCTCTTACCCACCCCCTTAACACCCCCGGTATGGAAGTCAGGCTATATATTTATAAAAACACTCCACATTCACTTAAACAGGGCAAGCAAAGAGCTTTATCCACAACTAAATCCATTTGTTTAATAAAAGCAGGGCATAAAACCTACCAATTTTGGTGTGGCGCTCCCCTGGAAAGAAGTGAAAAGAGAAATTTGGGTTATTTTTCATTCTTTTGCCTTTCACATGGCCCGTCTATCTTTGCCCCTGTAATTCAGGCTCTGAGGTCATTTCTATTCTAGCCCAAGTTAGCCCTGCGTGCAATTATTTTTGCAGGATGTCAAGGTTTTAATCTCCCAAAATTCAGGTGTTTAATCTCCTGAAATTCAGGTGTTTATCCCCTAAAATTCAGGTGTTTAATCCCCTGAAATTCCACCTTGAATACTCTGATTTTCACATGGCAGACCAAAACAGATCCGTGTAAACAGCCAAAAAAACCAGTACTTACCCAGTTCCACAGTAAATAACCCTTTAAATAGGAAAAAAATATATATATATATTAATCCTTTCCAAAGATTTTGGAAATTCCTGGAGAAATTTCAATGTCTCTCCATGAAAAAAAAGCCACTTACTGATGGTTGCATCGCACTTGGCTAGAAACAAGACAGACAAACAGGCAGCAATTACTATTCTGTGAGCCCAAATTATTTATTTTTTGGTTAATTAGTCTCCAGATTTCTCAAACTGACCAAAAAAGGTGGCAAAAGCTCCCAATATGCCTCAAAAAACAGCAATCTGGTTGAATGGAATAGGAAAGAAAAGCACTTACCGAGCTCTGCATTGAGTTTCCCTGGGAAGAAAAAAAGGGAGGGGGATTTTAAAGATTTTCCTTTCCTCTCCGGACACATAATAGGTAATTATTGAGCTGAAAATTCAAAAAAAAATTAATTTGATTTAAATCCATTCATTTAGGAGTGACGAGGAGTGCGAGAAGGCTGAGGAAAAGGGAGATGTGGGGGGGAGATGCATGAAAACACCCCGATATTTGAGGAAAATGCCCCTTTACCCCAAAATTTTACTTGCCAGGAGAAGAAAGTCACTTACGAAGAGTGGAGTCTCGCTCCCCTGAATGGGAAAAAAATGAAAAATCAAACAGAATAAACCCCATTTTTTGCACAATGCTGCCCTCTCCCTTCGAGGTAACAGCTCTGCGGAAGCTGGAGCTTGGAAGATTTGGGGTGCAAAGCTGCTTTGCCCCCTTTTTCTAATTATATTTTGCGAAAAAGGGTGGATTTTTGCTTTTTGGGGGTGTTTTTGCAATGCAAAGAGCTCAGAGGAAAGGGGGTTGCAATGGGAGAGGGTCCCCAAAGAGCGTCTTACCGAGCACTGCATTGAGCCTCCCTTGGAAAGGAAAGAATAAAACAATTTTGAGTAATGCAACAAAATCCGAAGGCAGAAAAGAGCTTCTCGACCCAAAATTGTCCTTTTTGAAAGGAAGCAAAAGGACTTACGCGTTTCTGCTGCAAGCTTGGCTGCAAAGAGAGGGGAAAAAAGAGAATATTCAGGTTGGTTGGGATGTTTTTTCCCTCCTTTTTGTGACCATGCAGTGAGGGGCATCAGAAAGACTCTGCTCCCCTAAATCCCTTTTCTTTTTTCACTCCAAATCCCCCAATTTTTACCCCAAATCCCCTTTTTTTTACCCCAAATCCCCAACGAAAAAGGCCACTTACTAATTTTCCTATCGCGTTCCTCTGTGAAGAAAAGGGAGGGAGAAATTATTATTAAATATTTCTGGTTTGTGCATCGCTCTGTAACACGTTTGAGCCCCCAAAACAGGGCTTTTTATCCCCATTACTGCCTTTACATCAAATACGATATTTTGCAATTATCCCAAAGGGAACTGCAATTATCCCAAAGGGAAATCAGGAGGAAATTCTTCCCCTTCAAAAAGGTGGCTGCGGGAACGTGGTGGCTAATGCGAAATGGGGCCAAGTTTGTTCTCCTTGTTCCCCTGCTGCATTTTTAAATTTGCTGAAAAAAAAAGGGGGGGAATTGCACTTACTGATTTTTGCATCGCGTTCTCCTGAAAAAATAAGCAGAGAAGGTGAGGAAAGAGAAAAACAGAGCAATTCTCCCCAAATCCCACCCGCCTCCTGCAGTACTTGGGTCCTCACACAACAAAACTCAATATTTTCTTCCACACACGCCTCCCTCTATGAGTATTTTAAAATAAGATCCATTTCTAAAGCAGATGAAGATGCAAAAACTCAAACAGCTCTAACAGCCTTCCCAAAAAAAAGCATTTTTTTAATATAATTCAGGATAATTTTCTCCTTGTCAAGGAAACTCCTTACCGAGGTCCGACTGAAGTCTCCCTTAAAGCAAAGAAATAAATCCGTATTAGTTGTAAGCGGTTTAAGTATCAATATTAGTTTTAAGCAGTTTAAGTAGTTTAATATTTGGGTTTTTTCCCCCTCAGGGGCTATAATTTAGGGTACACGACCGTCTTTACAACCAAAAAATCCCAAATTCTGCTGCTCCTGCAGCTTTTGCAGGATTTTTTTGCCCCAAAACTCTTTCCCCTCCTGTTTTTTCCACACGTGGGCTAACAACAGGACCCAAAGTGCCCAAAAAACAACACTCACCAATTTTTCTATCCCGTTCCTCTAAAAAAAGAGAAGAAAGAGAAGAAAAAATCAACTTTTCTTAAGCCTTCGCCCTCTCTGTTGCCACGTCCTGCCATGAGTCTCACTCTCCCCACACCTTTTTCTTCCCCTTGGTGATTATAATTCAAAATTTCTTTTTATTGGGGACCCAATTACTTTATTTCCAGCTCGTATTGGGGGTGTAGGGACCGCGTGTGTGTTTGGGAGGGGGTGATAACCCCCTTAAAACACCATAAAGGAGTTAAAAACCAGGCGTCAGGACGCGGAGGAAGGAGCTCACTTACCCAGCTCTGCTGTCAGATTGTCTTAAAAGAAAGAAAACACTGATTTTTGCAAGGGTTTCTTGGCACCAGGAGGCTGCTAAACCTCATTCTGTCCCTCTTTTTGAGGGGAAAACGAGGGAATTCTGTGTTTTATGGCGGTCACGGAAGGCGTTTGACGGGAGGGGGATGTGGCACTTACCAATTTCTGCTGTGAGTTCACCTTAAAAGAGAGAAATAAAGGAAGATTTGGGGCCTCTGAGGTGCTTGAGAGGGTCCCGTGAGGCTCCATCCCACGAAGGTCCCATGGTGGCACTTACCTATCTCTGCGTTTTCACCCCCGAGAAAAAGAACGAGAAAAAAAAAGTCAATTTTTGCCACTTCCAAGGCTGAATATTGGTATTTTCATCGTTATCCAACCGTGTTTTCAAGCTGTAAAACGAGAACTTACCGTTTTCTGTGTCGCATTCCTCTGAAAAGAGCAGGGAAATAAACAGGGGTGAGTCGGAGGAGCCTCCACCGCGGAGGCTCGAGGACGAAACCAGTTTGATTCCTCCCAAGAGGAATATCCAGCGGAATGGGCTGGATTCCAGGGATATAGAGCTCTTTGGGGGGTCTTTTTTCCTTGGTTTTACATAAAAATTGCACAAATTTGGGATGGGAAGCCTCCTTCTGTGGCCCAGGCCCAGTTGCTCTTCCCTAAAACCTCAAACCTCCCCCAAAGAACCTCCCTTTTCCCCAAAAAATCCCCAAATCCCCCCAAAATCCCAAAATCCCTCCCATTCCCCCCAAAAAAACACCCCAAAATGACTCACCGAGCTCCGTGTCGCTTTCTTCTAAACAAAATAAAGAGAAATCCATCTCAACGCAGGCCGGTGCTAAGGCCGCAGCTTTACTAGGCCCGGTTTTTGCGCTGAGATAGGACTAAGGGAGGGAATCGTCTTACCAAATCCTTCCTCCAACTTCCCTTCAAACAGAGCAAAATTTTAGCACCAAAATTTGGCTTCGCAGCAGGAGACAGAGGGGGAAAAAACAGGAATAACCTACTGATTTTTGCATCCCATTCCTCTGAAAAAGAAACAGAAAGGGAAAATATCAGCCCCAAGCGGCCTCGCATCCATGTTGGGCTTCACCCACATAAGTCTAAAATACAGAATTTATTTATTTATTATTTAATTTTATTTATTTATTATTTAATTTTATTTATCATTTATTTTTATTTAATTTTATTTAGTACTTAATTGCACTTATTACTTAATTTCATTTATTTATTACTTAATTTTATTTTATTGCTTAATTTTATTTATTATTTAATTGCATTTATTTATTTAATTTCTTTCATTTATTCTTTAATTAGGATTTATTTCCTACAGACTAAGAAAGAGCAAATAAACCACCCCAAGCACAAAAGGCCATAGGATATATATATGGCCTATGTATATTATATATATATTCTAGAGAATATAAATAGGATATATAGGGCAGATATATATATATATATGATATATATTTATATTATTGAAGAAAGATTTGTTTTGCTGGGAGAAGCACCACTTACCAAGATCCGCGTTCCTCTTGCCTTAAAAGAAGAGATAAAAGAAATTCAGGGAGGTTCATTTATCTATTTATTATTTTACTTATTTTATTATTTATTTATTATTTATTTATTTATTTATCATTTTTCTTTATTTATCATTTTATTTAATTTATTTATTATTTATTCATTATTTATCCAACAGCGTGAACGCTGCCCCCCTTTATTGGGGGTAACCCCCCCCCTTATTGAATGGGGCATGGAAACGGAGGCAAAGTTTGGTTTTCAGTTGGGAAAACCCTCAAAAATAGAGAAAATACGTCGGGGAAACACTAAAATATTGGGGAAATGCTAAAATATAAGAAACGGGGTCAAAAAAGCTGTACCTGTTTCCATCGCTGCGTTGGCCTCCTATGAGGTGCCCAATGGGCCCCAGCTGCAGGTACCTGGGGGAGGAAGAGCGACCATCATCAGCCTCCCTGGATGAGGAAGACGAGGGCATCCAAGGGCTAAATTTTAAGGGAAAATAGGGAAAATAAAGCGAGAAAATGTTATTTTTTGGCCTCGTGTCTTTCCGCAGCATGAGGTTATGCGCGGGAATAAAGGGAATTCTCCTTCTTGGCTGCTTCTATCCTGTTTCTTTTGCTTTCCGAAAGCCCCAAATTCCCTAAAAATGCATAAAATGTCCTAGAATGGGAGAAAATAGAGGGGAAAACCGACGGCTTACCGGGATCGGCCGCCCGGGATCCTTCCCGGGGCCTAATTTTAGCCGCCCGAAATGCCGGGATGGGAGGAGGAGGATCCCGGAGGATCCCGATATAGTCACAGTGGGAGGGGGGGTGAGGGGGGGCGCCTCTTTTCCCACCTTTTCCTGTCTCTTGCAGCTGGAATTTGCTGGGAAAAGGGGATTTGCTGGGAAAAGGGGATGGGGGGGGGCTCTTTTCCCACTTTTCCCTGCCTCTTGTGGCTGGAATTTGCTGGGAAAGGGGATGTGGAGGG